GGAACAATAAGTGCATAAAAATTTAAAGAAAAAAGTTGTCAGTGATGGGCGTTTTGGGGGCGAACACCAGGGCCCCTCCCCCCCCCCCTCCCCCAATCCCAACCCCCTCCCCCCATCCCGGGCCTGGGCCCCCCTAACTTCCTGCCCAAAGGGTTGTTGCCCTTTTAAGTGCCCCCCCCAAATTACAATTCCCGCCGCTCGCTCCCAACCCCCCAACCCTTTTTCCCCCATGATCCATGCGGGCCCGTCACCCGTCCCCCGTCCCCCCCACACCGCCCCCCCCCACCCCCACGATATCAAACAATGTCACAAGTAGTCCGGGGTTCCCGGAATCTTAAACGACAGGAGCCAAAGCTGTCGTTCAGGGAGGAAACGGGCCGGGGTTTTCCAAACAGGGAAGTGCACTAAATTTCCCCTCTGGCAAAAAACCGGGGCACACAATAAATGTCTAGGCTTCCAGAGAGCCCCAAATGAGAACAACCAACAGCCTCCCCCACCCGACAGGGCAGACAGCAACCGTAAAATTCACCTCTCCCAGGGGGGGGACCTCAAATTTTCCAATAAAATTTAAAACATCCACCGGGGGAATTCTGAAAACACATCCCCAAAGCAGTTTAAACCCTCAAGCTCTAGCAAACCCCAACTGACCTTCTGAAGAAAGCAACGATGCCCCTTTCCCAAACCACAGCCCGGGCACAATTTGCTGTTTTTTTGAAAGCCTTTTTTGGCTGTCCCACCAAGGGGGGACAAGTCCTAGCAACACATGTTTTTAAAGGGCAATAAATGCAATCCCAAGGATGACAACCTCGCCCGTCCCCCCCTAGGGCGACAAACACCCGCCGGCAAATGCCAACAAAAAGGACAAACCCAAAACCTCAAAAATCAGACCCAAAATTAGAAAAAAAAAATAAAAAGGGGGTAATACTTTTTGGACCCTTTGAGACTTATAACCAGTGGGGAACCATCGCTCCCCGGGAACGTCCCGGCGCAACTCTGAAGGACAAACACCCAACCCAGGGTTTCCCAGTACCAACATTGCCCCCCCTGACATTGCGCAGGTGAAAAAACATCAAACCCTTTACGGGAAAGCTGATGTTATAAAGCTCTAGTCTTTTTCCAAAAGGTTTCCCAGCAGGAGGTTTCCCCGGGTTTAAAAGGCTCAACACTTAAAACAAATACCCCCTCCACCCCTTTGGGTGGTTTTCCCAAAAGGGGGCGTTTCCCCCTGAATCCCCCAAAATTTTTCCAACCTGGCCTGGGGGGCGGTGTCCCCAGACCCCATCAGAACCCTTTTTTTTGGTGCCCTTTTGGTCCCCTTTCCGGAAAAAGGATGGCGGAATCGGGCCCCTTCCCGGGGGTAACACCCTTCGGCCCTAGCGCCAAAGGCTGCAGTAAGGGGGGTTTGGGGTCAAGAGGCTGTTTGCAATGCTAAAACCAACTCACTGGGTTTTCCCGGCGTTAACAGGGCGGGTGAACAGCTGCCCACGCAGAAAAGAGATAATAAAAAAAACAGTCCAAGAAAAACCCTTTGTAAAATTTGGTTTTTGGGCCAATGCTTTCAACTCATTCAAAAGGGATGCTTTTTCTCCAAGAAAGTTTATAGAAATTTCCCCTTCCCCTTTACCCCTTTCCCAAAAATTTCTTTTATTGTTTGATTTTCCAAAACCTTGTTTGGGGACCATAAAAATTGACTCTTTTTTAGGGCGGGGAAACAGGGGGACCCCCCGCCCCCCCTTTCTGTTTTTTTTTGGGTCATAAAGGGAAGTCAGGGAGGCACTCTCCAGCGACCCTAAAATATCGGTTCCTGGACGCGGTACCCAAACTGGCACAACAGAACTCTCCGGAGGACATCAAAAAATTAAAGACAGGGGAGAAACCTGGGCCTTTCTTTAAACCCCCCCCAAAATTTTGTGAAATAGTCCCCTACCAATAAAACATTTTAAATCCAAATATTAGTCCCTTTTTTAAACCAGGGCACGACCCATTGATCCAGCCCAAAGCACCTCCTCGGTGCTCCTCTTGGGTCCAATGCCATCGATCTGGGCCCAGGGGAAAAAAATCTCAGACCTCCGACGATGGAAAGCAGGATGAAAAAAACATTGACACAAAACGAACCTTTTAAAATACTCACCAGGGGGCCTGTCAACCCCAAAACTTACCTAAATTTTTTTAATGCTCCCCAGGGCCCTTTAGCAGCCAAAACTCCCGGGAAAATGACTCTCTCCGAAGGCCATGCTAGAGAAATTAAATTTAAAAAACTTTCCCTTTACGATGGACAGTGGTTTCAACCCCCACTTCCGGTCAGGGTGGGAGGGCAAAAGACCCGATCCCCCCCAGATTTCTCTACCCAGCTTTTCCCATCCTCTTCCATTTTCATAAACGAGTTGAAAAGACAAAATTTTTCCTGGGCCCCTCGGTGACTCAAACCGGAATAGGAAAAAACCCTACTATGTCCCTTCCATCACCGAATGGGAGACTCTTGCTGCTCCAGCACCAAAACCCCAGTGCAGCACTGGCTCACAAACATTTTTAAGCGGGATAGCCCAATTGCGAAAAGGGGCTTGCCAACAAGCTCATGGGCTGCAAAAATCAATAGGGGGATTGGGCCCTTTACCCCGGCTGTGAGGGGCACCTCACTCCGGGGGCTTCCTCCAAACAGTTCCCATAACGGGGAATGGGAACCCCGACTCGACCCTAAAGAACCCCCCGTATTGCAGTGGCCCTCTGCCCCCTTCGCCCCAAATTTACAAAAGAATAAAAAGTGTATTTGCCCGGGGAAGTGCAAGCAGACCAATACGGGCCCCACAAGGTTTTTAACTGTTTTCCCAAAAACCCAAAGGGGGGGCATGGGAAGACACAAAGAGGTCAACGACACAAATTTAAAAAGGAAACCCCCTTGCTACAGCTATGCCCGCCGAGAGGGAGCCACGATCACTTCCGCAAAAAAATACCCACAAAACCCCCAAACCCCCCCCGACGGGAAACACCCCCTCTATCCTTGGAAGAATGGCAAGCTTTTTACAAGGGACTAAACCTGTGTGGGCCCACGGCTGACACTATAAACCTCACAGTGGGGGGCGACAGGGAAAGGGGCGCGACCACAGGGAGGAGTACAAGATCGCAAGTACAGGGGCATTTGCCCAAAAGTAACAATTTGTCCCAGTGGGGTCAGAGACCCTTGGGGTCATGGGGGAAAAAATTTCCACACTTTCCTTAAGAATTGGTTTTCCCGACTCAACGACAAAAACCAGGGACCCAAAGGGGGCCACTTTTCATTTCCAGCCCTCAGCGTCCCATCCCCGAGGGGGAAAAGCTTTCGCATACTTGGCTCACGTCCCGCCTCGGAGGGGCTGGAGGAAATTCATCATTTTGGGTACATTGTGCCATTGGGATTCATGTTTTGTTTTTTTTTTGTAAATGTATTTTGTTTATTAAAAAATGTTCACAAAGAAAAAAAAATAAATAGGGGGGGTAGGAGAAGAAAAATATTCAAAAACCCGGGGGAACCTTTAGTTTTCTCTGAGGGACGTTTAAATTTCTTCTCTGAGGGGGAAAAAGGGGCCCCATTCCAGCTATAGAGGTGGTAAATTTCCCCCAAAATATTTTAAATATATATATATAAATTAAAATATATATATAATATATATATAAAATATTTTATAGATAGATAGAAAGATAGATAGATAGATTATAAATATAATCCATCTATCAATCATATCTAAAAATATCTACTATAAACTATCTATATCTATCCAAACTATCTAAACTATTTTATCTATCTATCTCTCTCTATCTCTCTCAAACTTTTATCCCCTAAACTCTACTCTATCTTTTTCTTGGGGGGGGGGCTTCCTTTATGCCCGGGAAAAAAGGACTTCTCACCTGCACAAGACCCCCAAGGACCCCCCCCTGGGAAGCCTGGGCTAGAGACTGAATTTCCCGGACTCCGGGGTAAAACAAGGGGAGGTTTTTGGGGGTCAACTCCCCCGGGCCCGTTAGGGCCCTTCAGTTTAAGAATTAACAAGGTTGATTCTCCCTTTTTTTTAACCTATTTCAGTCATTCCGTTTAAAGATATTTAAGACTTATTCACCCCCCCCCAAAAATCAAAGACATCCAACCCATTAAAACAATGTTTGTACAGAGTTTGGGGGGGTATTTTAGTCAGGGGATGCAGAAGTCCATAGATACCCAAAACATTTTTAAAAAAATATAATGTAATAATAATAATATTTTTTTTAGTCCCGGGCTTAGTCCTGGAAATGGAAGTACAATGCCCGCACTTTTAAAGGAGGGAGTTTGGGATATTGGAGTTTGGAGGGATATGTTTGTAAACTTTATATATTTTATTCTTCAAAACTGTTGTAAACTGACACCTCTGCAAAAGCAGTGATAATTGGGGATTGGTGAAAGGTTGAAAAGATGATGAAATTAAATTTTTTTTTTGGGGATTTTTCCCTTTTTTTTTTTTTTTGGGTTTACTCTGCCTCGGTGGGACACGACCAACTTGTTGAAAAAAAAAAAAAAAAAAAAAAAAAAACATGTGCAAGGTATACAGGTCTAGCTGATGTCAGTGACATACTGCTACATAGAAAACCGCTTGTTATGCAGATCATTTTGGGCAAATTAGGTCAGTTTTATCCCAGGATGCAACCCACACCATTCTACTAACTCCCAGCTGCATAATCCTATGGGTTTAGCACTCCCTTTGATTATAATAATAATAATACTAACTCCCAGGTACCCATTTTACTGATGGGGAGCATAGAAAACCAGTGTAAAGAAACATGCCCAGTGTTTCTACGCTTGTCAGGAGTTGAACTCAGACCCTCGCCGTGTGAAGCCAGAGCTTTAGCCACCAGGCCACTGGGCACCATAATAATGATAATAATAATTATATACCTAGGAAAAGAATGGCAATAATTATATATTTTTTAACACCTGCAGGACATTGATGAGTATAAAATATACATTGATATAATATCTTGTATAACACCTACAGGACATTGATGTGAACAGTGACCCGGGCAGCTTCTTTGGGGTCAAAGATGGTAAGTTATCTTACTTTTTTAACAGACTCATAAGTTATTGCAAGTTATATTTGATTTTTAAATTCAGTATTATATTAACACAATATGAACAACAGGAGTGCCAGAACATTATCCAACATTGAACTCTTTCTTCCACAGTTAAAATCTGTTATATTGTCAGTCAGCAGTAAGTATATGTTGGTATATATTTCTCATATATACCAATTCTTCCTCCGTAAGCCATGCGTGTCATAAGAGTCGACTGAAATGCCGGGATCAAGGGGCTAGTAATCCCTTCTCCTGTATACATTACTAAAGTTAAAAAGAGAAACTTTTGTTTGTCTTTTTGGGTTACCCTGCTTTGGTGGGATATGGCCAGTTTGTTGAAAGAATAATAATGATATCTTTATTTACTACAAGTACATGTACATGCCCCTTGTTATGCTGAGCATTTCAGGCAAATTAGGTCAGTTTTTGTCCCAGGATGCGACCCACGCCAGTCGACTAACACCCAGGTACTCATTTTACACTGATGGTCGAACAGGGACAGCAGGTGTCTTTTGAAAACACGTCCCTAATGTTTTTCCAGCCATATCAGAGGAGATTCGAACCCTGGACCTCAGTGTGTAAGCTGAGTGTGCTAGCAATCGAGCTACAGGACACCCTATAGATTTTGTTTATGTCAGTCATGCAGTTCCAAAGGGCAAAAAATAGACAGGCTAATGTTATAGTTAGTCATACAGTAATCATACCAGCAAATCTACAACCAGTAGTTGAGTTACAAAATGAAATTCTTACTTTATTGGTAAAGAATATTGCAGTTGATATATCAAATTATGGGAACTGAAGATGCTCTGTATTTCATACGTCTTCACACAGACGAGGTTTAGATGAAGAAAGTGTTCTTAAGATTTTGGAAGAAATACCTTCAGATTATGACACTTGACACTGAAGTAGAACGTGGCATAGACAGTGACTTTGAAGATGACCTACCCTTTTCTACTCAAGTAGCATTTGATCCATTAGCTCAGGCTCAAGGTTCCTCATGTGTCAATTGGCAATAAACATACTCATGATGATGATGAAACTGGAAGCTCCATTAGTACTGACCAGGAGCAACCTTCTGTTAGTACAAATGTTCAGGAGCTCCCTTCGTCAAGTGATCAGGAACATCCATCTACAAGTGGCCAAGGACATCATGCAAGAAGACGTTGAAGAACCTGCTCAGAATACACTTTCAGCTAAAGTCAGGAAACAAAGCAACAGCTTCTTCTGCACTTCATGCCTTTCTCTCTTTCTTTGATGAGAATATTACCAATGCAATTGTTTACCAGACCAACCTTTATAGTATTCAAAAAGGCAAAGTAATTACAGTAACAAAAGATGAACTTGGTTCTTCTTGGAATCAACATCATGATGGGCTACCACCACGTACCATCCCTGCTCCATTATTGGGCATCTCTGAATGATAACACTAAAATGGACCCAAATAGAAAAGACAAATTATACAAACTAAGACCACTCATCAAGAGAGGATACAAATTGTGGTGTATTGATGATAATGCTGGATATATTTTCAACTTTGCTATAGACACAGGTAAAGGAGAAGACAAAGATCCCATCATGAGGAAAGAAGTAGGATTAGATAGAGAAGTTGTTCACAAACTGACCAATCATCTACATGGCAAGAATCACAAAGTTTTCTTTGATAACTACTTTATTTCTTTTCCTCTCGTAGAGACCTTGCAAAGAGTCAGTGTTCAAGCTTGTGGCACAATCAGGCCCACAATAAAGGATTTCCCTCCTTTAGAAAATGACAAGAAGCTAGAAAGAGAGAGACTTGGACTATAGGTCCACACTTAATGGAATAACCATGTTTAGATGGATGGAGAGTAAAGCAGTTAACATAGCATCCAATTATCATGGAGTTACAACCACAGCTGTGAAGAGGACAAAAAATGAAATTAAGACAGTAATCACTTGCCCCCAAGTGGTAAAGGGTTAAAATGAAAACATGGGAGGAGTGGATAAGCATGACACATTATGACAGATGTATGGTACGAACAGAAAGAGCAAGAAATGGTGGCATAGAATTTTTTTTGTTCTTCTTTACATGAGTATCGTTAATGCATATGTTGTGTACAATGAAACTTATTCATCTCTCTCACTGTGAGAATTCCGAAGAGAACTGCCACAAGGACTTCTAGGGGCTCCCAAGTGAAGAAATGTTGACTTTACTAACTTTTTTCACTAAGGTGTTTGAGGAGGTAGATCATGGTAATGAGTACGATATTGTGTATATGGACTTCAGTAAGGCTTTCAATAAAGTTCCACACCAGAGGCTATTGAGGAAACTTAAGGCACACAGAATAGGAGGAGAAATTTTTTCCTGGGTAGAGGCATGGCTGACAAATAGGCAACAGAGTGTTTGCATAAATGGGGAGAAATCAGAATGGGGGCACATCACAAGCGGTGTTCCACAGGGGTCAACGTTGGGCCCGTTGTTGTTCACAATTTACATAAACGACATAGATGAGGGAATAAATAAGGACATAAGCAAATTTCCTGATGACACCAAAATAGGCCGTCCAATTCATTCTAATGAGGACACTAGAGTACTCCAGGATGATTTGAATAGACTGATGCAATGGTCGGAGAAGTGGCAGATGCAGTTTAATATTGACAAATGCAAAGTTCTAAATGTTGGACAGTTAAATAACCATGCCACATATAAACTAAATAATGTAGATCTTAATACTACTGATTGCGAAAAGGATTTTGGAGTTCTGGTTAGCAGTAATTTAAAACCAAGACAACATTGCATTAGTGTTTGCAATAAAGCTAACAGAATTCCTGGCTTCATATCTAGAACTGTAACTGTTTTGCATGATGGTAGGATTGCTGGTTTCCTTTTCTGTCTCATAAACACGCTAGATAACAGGGATATCTTGCTACTCCTACTTACACTTTGGTCACACTTCACAGACACGCACATGCATATATATATATACATACATCTAGGTTTTTCTCCTTTTTCTAAATAGCACTTGTTCCTCTTTATTTCTTCTATTGTCCATGGGGAAGTGAAAAAGAATCTTTCCTCCGTAAGCCATGCGTGTCGTATGAGGCGACTAAAAATGCCAGGAGCAATGGGCTAGTAACCCCTTCTCCTGTAGACATTTACTAAAAAAGAGAAGAAGAAAAACTTTATAAAACTGGGATGCTTAAATGTGCGTGGATGTAGTGCGATGACAAGAAACAGATGATTGCTGATGTTATGAATGAAAAGAAGTTGGATGTCCTGGCCCTAAGCGAAACAAAGCTGAAGGGGGTAGGGGAGTTTTCGGTGGGGGAAATAAAATGGGATTAAATCTGGAGTATCTGAGAGAGTTAGAGCAAAGGAAGGGGTAGCAGTAATGTTGAATGATCAGTTATGAAGGAGGAAAAGAGCAATATGAATGTGTAAATTCAAGAATTATGTGGATTAAAGTAAAGGTTGGATGCGAGAAGTGGGTCATAATAAGTGTGTTGCACCTAGAGAAGAGAGGAATGCAGAGGAGAGAGAGAGATTTTGGGAGATGTTAAGTGAATGTATAGGAGCCTTTGAACTAAGTGAGAGAGTAATTGTGGTAGGGGACCTGAATGCTAAAGTAGGAGAAACTTTTAGAGAGGGTGTGGTAGGTAAGTTTGGGGTGCCAGGTGTAAATGATAATGGGTGCCCTTTGATTGAACTTTGTATAGAAAGGGGTTTAGTTATAGGTAATACATATTTTAAGAAAAAGAGGATAAATAAGTATACAAGATATGATGTAGGGCAAAATGACAGTAGTTTGTTGGATTATGTATTGGTAGATAAAAGACTGTTGAGTAGACTTCAGGATGTACATGTTTATAGAGGGGCCACAGATATATCAGATCACTTTCTAGTTGTAGCTACACTGAGAGTAAAAGGTAGATGGGATACAAGGAGAATAGAAGCATCAGGGAAGAGAGAGGTGAAGGTTTATAAACTAAAGAGGAGGCAGTTAGGGTAAGATATAAACAGCTATTGGAGGATAGATGGGCTAATGAGAGCATAGGCAATGGGGTCGAAGAGGTATGGGGGTAGGTTTAAAAATGTAGTGTTAGAGTGTTCAGCAGAAGTTTGTGGTTACAGGAAAGTGGGTGCGGGAGGGAAGAGGAGCGATTGGTGGAATGATGATGTGAAGAGAGTAGTAAGGGAGAAAAAGTTAGCATATGAGAAGTTTTTACAAAGTAGAAGTGATGCAAGGAGGGAAAGAGTATATGGAGAAAAAGAGAGAGGTTAAGAGAGTGGTGAAGCAATGCAAAAAGAGAGCAAATGAGAGAGTGGGTGAGATGTTATCAACAAATTTTGTTGAAAATAAGAAAAAGTTTTGGAGTGAGATTAACAAGTTAAGAAAGCCTAGAGAACAAATGGATTTGTCAGTTTAAAAATAGGAGAGGAGAGTTATTAAATGGAGAGTTAGAGGTATTGGGAAGATGGAGGGAATATTTTGAGGAATTGTTAAATGTTGATGAAGATAGGGAAGCTGTGATTTGTGTATAGGGCAAGGAGGAACAACATCTTGTAGGAGTGAGGAAGAGCCAGTTTTGAGTGTGGGGGAAATTCGTGAGGCAGTAGGTAAAATGAAAGGGGGTAAGGCAGCCGGAATTGATGGGATAAAGATAGAAATGTTAAAAGCAGGTGGGGATATAGTTTTGGAGTGGTTGGTGCAATTATTTAATAAATGTATGGAAGAGGGTAAGGTACCTAGGGATTGGCAGAGAGCATGCATAGTTCCTTTGTAAAAAGGCAAAGGGGAAAAAAAGGGGTTGAAAAAATTTTTGGGGGGTAAGTCTGTTGGGGGTTATACCTGGAAAAAAGTTTTATGGAAGAGTTTTTAAATTGAAAAAATTTAAGAGTAAAAAACGGAGAATAGGATAGCAATGAACAAAGGGGGCCCCTTTGGGAAAGGTTTAAGGGGGTGTGTGGACCAGGTTTTTTACAGGGAAACATATAA